ATATATATATGTGTGTGTGTGTGTGTGTGTGTATCTCCTCAATAAATGTTAGTACTTGTTATTATATTGTTCTCCTTAAGCTCATGCTTTTTAAATCCTAATTTCTGTTGATATAAAAATTGCAAGAGGAAACATAAACTGAAAACTTGCTTGACTTCAGTTTATCTTGACAGAATGATAATATCTTTGATATTTTTCCCCTCAAGGACTCATTCGACATTAGCATTTTGATGGCTCAGCCAGTAAAACATACAGTAAACTTTATAGATGCAGAAGAGAAAGACCTACACAGGTTTGTATGAAGTAGTGTTCTTGATTTTTCAAATGCCCTCTCCAAATCTCCCATCCCCAAACTTCAGTGCAAACTATTGCTTCTCACAGAGAAAGAGACTTATAGATATGTGTTACATTCAGGAGTGGAGCATTCTTGGTTTGTTTATTCCAGTTTCATTTTTTACAAAGGAGGATAATGATGACTCTTTCACAGGGCCTTTTTAAGAATTGAATGACCAAAATGGTAATAACGTGGTTTATACACTTATACAACCAGACACTGTTCTGAGACCTTTATATATAATAACATGTAGTGGTCACAATGAATCTACGTAAATGGTACTATTGTTATCCCCATTGTAGATGACAAGTGGAATAGAGGGGAATAATGAATTTCAGAGAGTCACAGACTCAGTAAGTGTATTACAGCTAGGACTTAAATATTTCAGAAGACTCCAGAGTATGAGCTTTGAGCCACTATACTTTAATGCCTCTCAAGTAAAAGTGTAACTATGAATGGACCCAATGCAATGTGTGCAGGTAATAATAACAAGAAGAGCTACAACTTCTTGAGTGCCTACAACATAGTTGAGTCCTATGCTATGCTTTGTGGTCAATGGATTATTTTCAAAAAGGGCACTCAATAAATGTTAATTCTTTTCCCCTTTGCCTGACAAGACTCTAAAATGAAAGCCCTTACCTTGATTTGGTTCACTTTCTTAGATGGTAATATGAATCCCCTTTGAGTAACCTTTTATTACTCCTTTTCCCTTGCTTCCTGATAAAAATCAATATTTGTAATTTTTCCTGGATAAGACAGCTGTAACCCAGCCAGATTGTAATTTACCCAAAGCTGCTGAGACAGCAACAATCATACTTTAGTAGGCAGTGCTGGCTAACAACAGCAAACTATATATACTATACACACATACATATATATACACATGCCCATAATATATATGGATTTATATGTGTATATATATTTTAGAGTTGGGAGAGAAATCATGGAGTACAGAGGTATTCATATCAGTTAGGGTAGGTTCTGAGAACATTAGGTAAAGCAATTAGATAAGACAAAGAAATAAAAGGAATAAAGATAGGCAAATAAGAAGCTAAACTATTATTATTTGCAGATGACATGGTACTTTACATAGAAGACCCCAAAAACTGCATCAAAAGACTTTTAGATTTGATAAACAAATTTAGTCACTGGTTGAATACAAAGTCAACACTCAAAAGCATTCCTGTACACAAAAATCAAACTTACTGAGAGAGAAATTAGGAAAACCAGCCTTTCACAATAGCATAAAAAATGAAATACTTAGGAATCAATCTAAAAAAGGAAGTTAAAGATATTTACATTGAAAACTACAGTACTCTGAAAAAGATCAAAGAGGATATTAGAAAATGGAAAATATCCTTTGCTCATGGGTAGGAAAAGCCAAAATGGTAAAAATGGCCAAATCCCAAAATTGTTATACCGATTTAATGTAATCCCTATCAAAATACCAATAGCATACAGAACTAGAGGAAACACTCCTAAAATTCATTTGGAACCAGAAGAGACCTAGAATAGCAAAAACAATTCTGGTGCTCGTACAGGTACAAAATAATTTTTCAAAATTTAACTTTAACAACTTCATAGTCCTTTTAAGGGGATATGAAAGAAGGATAGGAAGGAAAAGGAGGAGGAAGAAATGATTACAATGTGGTATCAATAAATTCAACAAGACAATTACGATGTAAAACTGCAGAAATAGTCTGATTGCTACAGGGTAAAGAAGTTGAGCCTTTAGGGGAACAATGAATACAAATAATACACAGCCTCCTTGGAAACGTCTGGAACACTCCCTAAAATGAGGCACTTTAAAGCCCCAGTAATGGACCAATAATATTATCTTATAATTTTAAAATGATTCAGATTTGCAAACCATCCTTGTATACATTTTTCCCATTGAACAAGAAAAACTTTATGAGGAAGATTTTATCACACTTGAACAAGTGAGAATACTGAAATTCCAAGATTTTACAGCTAAATGGGTCCAGTCTCTAGGTTTGGTTGTATCTTTTCCCATTGCTTTATATTCCTGCTCCCTCTGCCTTTGGCATAGACATTGGCCACTTATGCATGACCCTTGGGATCGCCTGGTGGGAAGTTAAATCGCCTCCCTGAAAAATAAATGAACCGACCATGACCTTCTGAACTCAATGTTCCTCTTGCAATCTACTCTATTTTTAGAGGCCTGAGCAGCTTTTCCCTTCAGAACTTCTGTGTATGGGAACTGCCACAGTCCATGTTTTGGCTTCTCTGTGGATGGTTGCCACCTGTGTCTTGAGTCATCCTCTTCTTTGGCAGTCAAACCCAGCACAGGAGGCTACATGCACCCTGTGCAGTGTAGGTCCCTGCAGGAGGGTGGTGTGCTCCTGCAAGGCTTTGTCAAGAAGCAGAATGTGGAGAATCACCAAAGCATAATCACAGACCAAGAGAGCCAAGGCAAAGTGCTTAAGAGAGAAAAAAATGTTGTGTCAATGCTCCAGTGGATCTTCTGAATCTATTCGGTGTATCTGTCAACACACAGAAAAATAACTTCAAGTGTTTTCTTTTTTCTTCCTATCTGTTTTTTTTCCCCCCTTTGCAGAGTAGAAATGCCCTTTATGTTCCAGATGGCCCAGGCTGGCCTCATCCATGGGCTGGCGTTCTGGTTTGATGTGGCCTTTGTTGGATCTCTGTACGTATCTTAGCCTACTCCATGTTGCTATTGGTAATCACAGCTGTAAATAAATGTTCAAGAATTAATTTAACACTAACACTTGTTTCTTCAGTTTTCAAGGAAACAAATACCGATATGAATGTTACTCTTATATTTGGTGAAATGAAAGTGAGGCTGTTTCCACAGCGTCATATCAAATGTGGTTCAAATACTTAAAACCCCCTAAACCAGTCAGATTCAGCTTTGGAGGACTGAGAGAGGGCCTGTGTTTATCAACCCTGTTGTTCTCTCCCAGAGAAAATGGGGTGGACCCCCACCCCTTGTCATACAAGCTCTCAGGTCTGAGTAATGGTTTGAATTATTCTGTTCCCCACTTTGGCTTGAAATCGAGAATCTTCTCATGATCAGGAAAGCATGTTTTACTCATGCTAAGTAACTTCTCTACCTGTGCTATCCAGTTTTAAGGTTATAGAGCAAAGAGGAGAAAAATACGGACAAGTTGGCTGTTAGTGTTTGGTGTTTCTTGTATCATCTTGCTTTGCTCCTATGACCCTGAAGCATCTTCTGATTTCCCAACTCTGTTTTCCTTGTGCTTTCTCATGTTTCATAAATTGTAGATTTGAGCTGGGTCATGTGCCAGGCAAAGAAACAGTATACTGTCCTTCACTCCTTGAGAGAACATAGAGCTTTATCGCTGTATCTTCTTAGAATGATGTGTGATAAGATGGGGAGGGGAAGATTTTTTTTAGGGGGACCAGGGAAGGAGAGGACCGAGGGAAGCCTTATCCCATCTGAAAATCAGAAAAACTAACACAGGGATTGTTTCTATACCATAGGTGCATGTTTGTCTAAGTAATGGGTAGAATTGTTTCTCTCAGTAATATCCCACAACAATGGACTTTGCTCCTACAGAGATCAGGCAGATAAGCTTTAAGTAGCCTTCTTTGGGTGGGAGGTTTCTTTGAAGTAAAATATTTTACAGGAAATTTGTATTTCGTTTCTATAAGAATTTATATTACTTAGCAATTAAATTATATAAAAATTTCCTCCAAATCTTCAGAACTGGCCCTCTAGGAATTTTCTGCATGTTTAATGTGTCCCTGGCTTGCTACAAGCCAGAATCTACTGTCTAGGCCCAAAACAGGTGATCTCAGAGGTAGAAGCACAGCAAGATGTTGTCTCTTCTTCCTATGAAATTAAGAACCTCAATCTACACACACACATATACACACACACACACACACACACACACACACACACACACACACACATAGTGGCTGAGCTGGAAGGATGGAGAGTCTATATGCTCTAGCAGTTTTCCTTGCTTCCAAGAAGCCCATTCAAGACCCTTGAACAGATTGGCACAGGCCAGTAAGAGTCCAGACTTCAGACTTCTTCCCTTGCCACACTTGAAACAAGGCAGCAGTTCCTACTTTAACTCTTCTCCTTATGGGACTCTGATGACCTTTGGTTCAAAAGTGAAAGTCAACACAGTGTCTGGGTCTCTGAGTTTGATGCCTCATCCTCCAGGTGTCTTCTGTGTGGTATTGAGCAGATCATTTAATCTCACTGGTTTGTGTAGATTTAACGAGATGTTGTGCCTTACTTTACTTTTGTACCAATACATGGCAATTGCTCCACAAAATGAACCACCTTTATCTTAAAAGGGTTCCATGAGTCAAAAAGAATAAAACTGCTTATCAGTCTCAGTGTCCAGTCTAACTCATGAATGAGAATATTTCAGGTGATTGGCTTTTAACTCTTTTCTTGCCCTCCCCAGGGTAACAGTTTGGCTGTCAACGGCCCCCACTGAGCCACTGACTCACTGGTATCAGATGCGGTGCCTTCTTCAGACTCCTCTCTTTGCCAGGGAAGGAGAGACTCTCTCGGGGAAAGTGCTGTTGGTAGCCAATAAAAGGTAAGAGAAAAGCATAGACAGTTTCATTTCTGTGTACAAGGAAGACAGGGATGGGAGCTACAGGAAGCTGTCAGCCCTCTGTGACTCCAGTGCCTATAAATGGACAACATGCTTTGCAAAGACCTAGCTGAGTTGGTGCAGATGCCCCCAGCTACACGGCCTGTGTGGCCAATTTCCTCCTTGCATTGAGTGCAGTGACAAAGAGAGACTTGGGCTAACTCAAGGGGAATGCTGTCTACCTGACCTTGAGGAAGGAAAGAAATTCAGCAGCTCAGAGGGACACTTGTCAGAGACTCAATTTATCAAGGCTTTCAACCCATGCAAGCTTCCTAGATGTATGACATACTTATCGTACATCTGTCTAACCATACAACCCTCCCCCTAATTTAGTACAGTAAAACCAAGGTGTGGCACAGACAAAAGCACTTTCAGAGTACTTGTATTATAGACAGCTGAGTTAGGTAGAAATATTACAGGCAGTCAGACAGGGCTAAGTCCTCAAAGAAGTCAGTGCAGAAGATGAGAACACATCACAACTGGGAGTGAAAGCACATTTGATGAAGCCTGGGCCTCAAGACAAAGATGAAATGACTATACCTACTTCCCCACCGATAAAAAATGATTGGTATTCTATAATAGGCATCACTCACCTGGATAGGGGCCCCAGACCTTAACCCATCCTTCCAGGAAATGATCTTGTTCTTTCCACACGCACTTCCTACATGACTTGCTTCCCCACTGGATCAATATTACCTAAGTGACGATATTTGTAATCTTATTGGTTGACTATAGTTTTGTCCTACCTCAGGCCCACCTCATGATTTTGCTTTATAAAACTTCTTTGAGGAGTAGGCTCATGGGCAACCCACTTTCTGGGTCCCCTTCTGCTTCTCTTAGAACCTGTCTTTCCCTCAATAAATATTTCCTACGCTGCATCACGGTCTTCTTTTGTTAAAGGTTACTGCATCCTCCACAGATTTTGTTTTTTCTGTGCTGTGGCACTGTTTATCTGATATATGCTTTTCCTCCGTATATAAATTTTACTACACATTGATCAACTTTGCCATTGCTGTATTGAAATACCTGACACCTGCAATGGAAAGGGAAAGAGGCTTCGTTTCACTCCTGGTTTCAGAAGTTTCAAGTCCGTGATCAGCTGGCTTCAAGGTGCAAACATCATAGAGAAAGGGCATGGTGTGCAAAGCCACTTCGTGGCAATCAGAAAGAATAGAGTCCAGGAAAGAACACCAGCAGGGAAAGGGCCAGGGCCTAGATATTGACCCCCTGGTCTCACCTCCATGACCCACCCAGACACACCCAGATCTAATCCCTTAGTCATTTTACAAATCCATCAAGGTAACAGTAAAAGTTAACCATCACAGCTACTCCCTTTTTAACCTTTTATCTGATAGTAAATCCTCTCTCCTTGTTGTTTTGATGTTACTGTGGTTCATCATCATAGTGTGGGACTCTTTTACACAGTGTTTACATGAACAAGTTCCTGTGACAGAGAGGCATGTGACGGTCTTCATGTTGTCCTGTTTTCTCAACTCAAACTCTCCCCCCAGATGTGTTGCCACGGAGTTACGTTACTTCCTGCAAAAATGGCTGCTCTTGTAGATGTGCTTTAGCTATTGCACCATGCTCCAGTTCAAGGAGCATCTTTGCCCAAAGTCTTGCTCTTGTACCAAGATGGTACAAGCAGAGGATATACTTTTGCTTTCACAAAATGCTGCTCTGTTTCAGTTAGGGTACCTGTGTTCACACTTTCTCAGACGTGCCGTCCCTGGGATCGCTTGTCACTGTTTGCACCTCTTTGTTCACTTTTCCATGTGGTTCATAGCCAATCTCAACTCTTCTTACAGTTCTTACATATTTGTTGGAGACTTCAGATTATATCTGTCTCCTATTTTTATGGGAGGTCTGTGGTCTGCAGGATCTTTATTCCCCATGTTCTTGGGTGGCTTCCAAGAAGAAAAATGGAAAATGCTGACTTATGCCATGATCATCCTGGAAGTGAATACTTTCTGCCTAAATCCCTATAAACCATCTGTTTAATTACTAGTTCTAAAAAATGCTAAGGAGCAATAGCCAGCATCTGCCTGGAGTTTGGGACTGTGCCTTTTGTGTTTTTTGCAAACCAATATAAATAAGCCTTTGCCTTCCAATATTTATATTTTTGAAGAAGTATCTTAGGATATTATTGAGTGAGAATTTATATCGTCTCCTTCATCCATTAGATTTTTCTGACATACCCTAGGTTCCATCCCTGTCAGTGTTTTTTCCTACCCTCTCTCCTTCATTCCCACTAATAGGTAAGAATGAAGCAAACCATTACCTCACTCACTTGCCACGTGACCCGCAGAGTCCTGCAGCCCCGTGTTGTTGTTAAGGCCCTGTTGCAGTATTGCTGTTACTTGCCTACATGTGACCTCCCAAGAAGAGTGACCGAGTCCTGCTGTGAGCTGCATCCCTACTCAGTCCGTTACAGAGCCTCCGCAGTGCGGTGCACTGACTGAGTAATGGAGCCAGCAGCTGAGGGTCCTTCTCTCATCGATAACCCAGCTTGGCACCAATGAAAGAAACAGCTGAGATATCATGGGCGTGGAATACTTTGTGGGAGGAAAAAGGAAAGGGAGGGAGGAAGTTCTTTATCTTACTAGAGTAGCACTCTTGTGCAGTGAAAGGAGATCAGGTGTTAGACCACCACTATATCCGGGTTCTGTTAGGTCTCTTCCTGTTTATCTGTGGATACCTCCGTGACCTTGGACAAGACAATGAATGAGCATCATAGTGTCCTCATCTCATCATCTATAAAGCAGCATTTATAATCATCATCTCACCAAGTATTGAAATATTTCACCAAATATTTTCAATATTTCAAATATTGAAAGGGAGAGCATCACATGATGATTAACAGAGTGAGCCCGCACTAGAACTTAGCTCCTTATTTTCTCCATTTTTTCCCATACTCTCACTGTACTTCCTTGTTGTTGCTTTAAGATTTCTGTTTTCTTGACATTTTCTGCAAGCCTCGGCATCCCTGAATGTCAGTATTTTTCCACTATGTTTTCAGTGAAGTCGCTGTCCCTTTGTATTGCTTTAGATAGGAGCCTACCCTTATGGTCAGATGCTCCTTTCAACTCCGAACTCCTGGGAGAAGTCCCTCTGCAGCTACCCTGGTGTGCTAATGGCTGCCCTTTTCTTCCCCACCAGAACCATTTATGGTTGTATTGTTAGCATTTTATTTTTGACAGCCTCCCATCATTCTGCAGCTATCATTCATTCTATTGCTCTAGCAAGAAAACAGAACCTATCGTTTTATGAACTATATGAAATTGATATCTCTAAAGTTCACGTATATGTTCGCCAAGGTTTCTTTCTTTATTATGTGTACCTACGGGCAACAGTACTTTACATGTTTCCTCTGAGTGTTTTAAATTTGTCTTTGTTTTGATTCATCAGTTTTAAATTTCTCTTTTAATTGTGTGCAGGTACTATGGTAATAAAATAATAGAACACCCAGAACTAGACTAGTTCTCTCTTTCTATATATGCATAGACAGATCTGTGTATAGTATACATATGTAGAAATTCATGTATTATGTACTTCATAAAATATATAAAAAAATAGAAATAAAAAGGATGCACTGGAGAAGTAAATATAGACTGATTATTGGATCCAGCTCAGCTCTTTATCCTGTGCCAAAATATTTTGAAACACTGTTTAAAATTTTTGGATGGCTGTGAAGGCCTGCTATACCCTAGCTTGCCAGGGGATTTAGTTTAGAGAGAGTTTGATGAGCTTTGTGGTTTCTAAAGCGAGAAGATATGCTGATCAAAGAATTAAGGCTTTGGATGCTTCCAGTGTTACTCCTAATGGTCATCATTAAACTGCTTTACCATGGACTTCGTATAAAATCAAACCTCTCAACAGCTGTATATTTGGTCTGGCGTGGCAGGAAGAATTTTGGGAGGAAATTATTGTACACAGTTATCCCAGTGAAGTAACAGAATGTGATGATAGAGCTTTAAACCATTTCTTTATTCTAAATGTTAGATTCTCCTATCTCCTACCTATATGCCCATTACAGGTTGGTACAGTATTTCTTGGTGATACCCTACCATATTATTTAAGATGTAAAGTCACGACAAGTCATCCCACCTTTGCAAATCCCCAGGAATTAGGTAAACATGACAAACATCTTAACTTTCAGTTGGTGATTAGAAGCCAGAATTTGCTAATGATCAATATATATTTGGTAAATGCTCCTGTTGAGAGCTTCCAAAACAAATTACACAAACTGAATGTCTTGAAACAGCAGAAAAGTATTCTTGCATGGCCCTGGAGACCAAAAGTCTGAAAGGAAAGTGTCAGCGGGCCATGTTTCCTCCTCTGAAACCACAAGGCCGGAAGCTGCCTGCTGTTTTCCAGAGTCACACGGCATCTGGCCATTCTTGGCGATCATTGTAGCTGTACCCTCTAAATTCTGTTTCTGACTCCCTGTGGCCTTTTCCCCTGAGTGTTTCTCTGGTTGTCCTACCCATTTCTTAAAAGGACACCACTCACAGATTTGGGGTCCACGCTAACACAGTATGATCTCATCTAAACTTGGTTATGTGTGTAAGACCCTATTTTCAAACGAGGCCACATTCACAGTTCCTGGCAGTTAGGGCTTGAACATAAATTTGGGGCAGGGGGGACACAAGTTGATGCACTGTAACAAATTAACTAAGATATTTTTTAAATAGTTCAATATTTTCTTCAAATTCTAGTGCATCATTTGATATTTTCTCTGGGGCAAACTTAAATCCCTTGGATGAATATGTACTAGAGTCCTTGCTTTCCTGTGTCTATCGGTGAATCTTCAGTGGCGAGGGCCAGTTCTCTGTAAACTTTCTGCCACTTCCCTCTCTCCACCCCACTCTTCCCTGAGGGTCATCTCTAAACCCACCTCCCTATGGAATGACCATTTTCTCCCAAAAGGCACACCCTTCATTATTGTTCTTGAGCCATGTCTTGGATATTACAAAAGAAATGTTGGTATACAAAGCAGTGCCTTTCTATGTAATCCTGAACTGAGATATGTTCTCATTGCAACTGTGTGCTCTTTTTTTGTTTTGTTTTGTTTTTGTTGTTTGAGACAGGGTCTCACTATGTAGTTGAGACTGAACTGGAACTCACTATGTAGCCCAGGCTGGTCTCGAACTCACAGCGATCCTCCTCCCTCAGCCTCCTGAGTGCTGGGATTACAGGCGTGCACCACCACACCCAGCTACATGCTCTATCTTTGTAAAGTTAAAATGAATAAATCTGGCAAAAAGCTAGAGTGTCTTCTTTAAAAATGCCCATTGCTAAATTACTAGTTCAAAGGAATTAATTTTGTTTAGGTTTCTGTAGGCACCATTTTGGAAGATGATCCACAGGAGGCACTTTGTAAACACTGCACTTTGATTGTTGGGTTTGTTGTTGACATTCTGGGTATCTTGGCATTAGCATTAGGGTATCAATACAGTACATTATCTTCCTACAGTTTTAGATGATGGCACATTTTCCTTGGCCAGGCAAACCACTGTCAAGGTATCGAACCTAACTATCTCTACCTCACCCTCCCTCCCAGGCACATACACACTAAAGGGCATTAACAACTAATCTCATCTTTTCACTGACCAAGCCGAGCCGAGAATTCCTTCTTTTTCCCTTCCACTAGAGAAGAGAGCTTTGTGGCCAACAATGAGGAAGGGGTTGTGAGAAGCGAATGTAAAGTGACAGTAGTATCACACCTATTATTATGAAAATGCACTCCTGGTGAAGACCCTGTAGAAAATACAGCTTGTTCTTCCCAAGCACGGCAAGGACCACTCACGGCTCCGTCGCGACACACCTGATTCACATGTGTCCGTGAATACACACACACATGCTGCACGGTATTCGATTTCTGCTTTAAACTCTTTGTAGCTCTATCACCCATTATCTTTTTAAAATGTGTCTCTCAAATGGCAAAATGTGTAGATATGTCTTACCTATTTTCCAGGCTCATCTCTCGTAGCTTTTCTATGACTCAAGCAAGGTTTGAGCCTTTTCTATGGAGCACATTGCCTCGATCCCTAGTTCCTCTCTGATCTACCTTTAAGTGTCACAGATGCAGTGAACTACTGGATATGTGTCACAGAAGAAGAAACTTTAAAAATATTCTGAGTCAACTCAATGAAGGACATAATCTTAATTTTTAAAAATCCTATGACTATGTTTTCCTCTTCTTTGGTTTGGCTCCAGCAGAGTTTATAACTTGAATTACTGATTTCATAGGACCTTAAATTATATTTAATCCTACCCGGTCCACTATTTGCAAGGTGGGAGTGGAAATGGAAAACTTTACGTCACTCACTGACATCTGAAATTTAAATAAGGAGCCTAAGAATAAAAGAAATCCATAGGAATAGCCTGTAATATTCTCACATCAAATATTTAATGTTGAGAATTAGAAAAGATGTAATGAAATTAGTACTGTGATAATTAGGAGATGAAATGATTTGGTGTACGTTCTGGAGAACATTTTAGCAATAGGTGCCAGGAATAGAAATACGTATGCATACTTTAGCCTAGCGAGTCTACTCTTGAGAATTTTTTCTAGGTAAATAACAGTAGATACAATGTAAAAATGTGTTATAAGAATGTTCTTTATAACATTTTGGTCAGAAAACTAGATTTTTACTATTATAAGCAATAATATATTATGAAAATACAAATATTCAATAATGGGGAACTGCTATAAATAATGTTATATCCACATAAAGACATGGAAAATTATATTTTCAGAATTAGGAAAAGAAATATACTTCCTTGTATTAAATAAAAGAAAGAACTTATTGAGCAATACTTAAGCATCATTTTACTAAACATATCTGTCAGCATGTACAGAGAAAGGGATATTTTCTACAATGACAGTAGAAAGAATATTTGTCTATCAACCTTATAGAATACTTTATTTGCCTTTTGTTTTCCCTACTTTTCAATTTCTGTACAGTGAATATGTAATCCTTTTATAATCAGGAGAGAGACAGACAGATGGACGGATTATGATTAATAAAAATCTCACCAAGATGGTTTCTTAAGATCAGTCATGGAAGATATGTCAAATTACTTATTCTTATCAGCCAGTGCTCACTGTAATTGCATGAGCTTTCTTCTGGGGCAGCTTAAGATCAATCACATCTGTTAACTGTTGTACATCAGTCTGAGATTTTAGCTCAGCCAGTCCTTCCATGATTAGGATCATTTTCCCACTTCAATGACAAGCCATAAAGTGCCTCTGTTACTTCAAGCCATTTTGTGCCATTGATGTTGGTAAAGGCCCCCTCCCAAAGCGCTTTGATCAAGCAGAAATACCATTACTTTTGTAATTTTTAGATCAAGAAATTACAGCTATCGAATTCTTTTAATGAATAAATGAGGCTTGCAGTTGCTTCTGTTAATATGAATAACATCCATGTACACACACATGGACATATAATGTATAAGATGCCAGACACATATTCTCATAACATGAGTGTGCAGAAAAGATGCTGTGGACATGTATGAACATGTAAGATGATAACGCTTTTCTCTACTCCACAGACAGAGCTATGATATTCAGATTGAGGTGCTGGTGAACCAAACCGGCTTGAGATCTGGGAACACCCTCAATTTAAAGAATCCATTCTTTAGGTAAGAAACACTCCCACTCATTTTGCATCCATTTATATAAAATCTCAATTGCCCTTTGACCAGGTAAAGAGGTTCAGAACAATTCCATCTTTCCTAAGGGGAAAAGTACCTGCTAGTGCTCTTCTTTTCAAAGGATACTTAGATTCTGATATGGACCCGAATGTGTTATGATCCATTAAACAGAACTCAGTATATAACCATTTTATACAGAAAGAGCACTGGAGAGTCCTACAAAGTGAACCTCCATTCCGATTGAGTTGCAATGAGCTGTGTGACCTCAGATAAAGTCATTCTCTCTCTCCAGCATTCAGTTTTCTCATCTGCAAGCACGGAGTTTAAAGATGATCGCTTTCGACTTTATTCACCAAGGAATGACTTGATGTCAGAGTTTATCTCAATACATAAATTCACGACCCACTGACATTGTATTTCTGAGACACATCTGATATGGAGATTATGTAAGTTAAAGCATACATTTATTTAAGAGCTATGCGGATTTTTTTTTCTATGATGCAAAGGACTTGCCGCAGTGAGATGAACACGATAAATGTTTCTGGAAAAATTTCCCCTGCCTTACACCTCTTCAGTATGAAACAAAGATCTACTCATGAAGCCAACCATACAGATGAAACTATGGGGTACTGCCACTCATATTTTCCTTACTAAAAAGACACTTTTTCTCATAATGTCTCCCAAGGCGTTTATTCTAAGAATTGTGTCTCTATAATATTGACAAGTTTGAAGAAAAGAGAAAACTCAGGAAACCAAATAAGAATTCTTTGACAGAGATGGGAAAATGGGCTTTTGGCTTTGAAGCTAGAGAGATAAAAACAGGGAAAGTTGCACTGCTGTTTGTTGTATGCGAGTTTGGACGCACAGTGACTCTGAAATCCACTCCCAATGAGAAAGATGGATCACATCTTTAATTTTTTTTTTTTTGTACAGGGGATTGAACTCGGGTCCTTGTGCTTAGAGGGCAGACAGTGGAACCACTGAGCTAAATCCCCGGTCCCACACATCTTTGCAAAAGAGGAATCCATGTTCCCATCCTTGCTTGACACAATAATGCCACATAAAGAAAAACACACGGGCTTTGGCCTCAGAGAACAGACTGATTTTTCACTAGCATTCAGGCCACAAAGACAAATTATTTACCCTGCCTAGGCCTCACTGATCTCATCTGTAAAGTGGGACAATAACATATATGGCAAGGGTTTATATAACATGTTCAAGGACTTTACAGTGTACATCACTAATGTGCTATAATGGCTAGTTTCCTTCTCTTGTCATCCTATTCTCTGATAATTCTGCCAATAAGATAGATAGATAATGATTTGTAGTTCATTCCGAACTTCTGGATTTTGAAAAATAATAAGAATATTTGGAGGATTTTAGAAAACTCACTGTGTGAATGCAAGACCCGTGAAAACTAGTGACTCTTAAGTCCTATCTTTCCTTCATCTTAGGAAAGAAGGCCTTTTAGCAGAAAACCACTCCGACAAGGTCCCAGTCCTGTTTCCTGCTTGGAACACATGAGCACCGTGTCTGCAGGGCCAAAGTGAGAGCTAGTGAGAGGTTTAGTGGTGACTCGAGATGATCACAGCTGAGTGACATTGGGCCTAGGTTGAATGAGGGGCGGATACCTTCCTTTCTTCCCTTTCTCCCCATGAGCAGTGATATATTTAGGCAGAAGAGAGTGCTTAAATTCCAGAGCTTGGTTATAATTCTATACTCCCTTCCCTGATGGTCAGGCCTAAGCGGAGATGGGAATTAAGTGGGATAATCATTGATGAACCTGGCACGGAGAAGATGCTCAATCGAGTGCGTAACAACGGAAATGCTCTGTGCTCCCCACTTCAATTCCAGTTTCCTGTAGCAGACACTGGGAGAAGTGCCCGTGTGTGTGCATGTGAATGTGTGAGTGTCTGCACAAGTTTGTGTGCTATGTGTTGGGAAGAACTGAAGTGGTGTTACCGAGGGGAATTCTAAGCAATATAAAACTGAAATAAATTATTTTTTCTCCATTTGCTTTTTGTTTTGCCCACCGTTAGAGTACGATAGCCATGGTAATATGCAAGAGCATAAGACTCATTTTTTTTTTCTTTTGGCCGATTCCAGATGTCATCCAAATATTAGCAACATGCTCAAAATCTACTACTAAAATCGATCATCCAACATTGAACATAATGCGCAAGCTTCTCCTTTTTTTTGGGGGGGTGGGATTTATTTTTTAGTATCAATTATTTTAAAGTTTGAAAATAAATGAAGAGCTAACAGTTGTTCCTACAACTAAGAAAGAGGACAAAGCCAAAGTCACTTCCTGAAAAAGGGAAAGCTCACAGAAACCTAGCAGATTTCCTGAGAACCTTGAGTATAGCACTTCCTAATTGAGGCCCCGTGTGGTCCATCGTAGGGCGTGGCTGGGCTCGTGCTATGCTGTGCAGGAGGAAAACCAGAGTGACCTGGATGGAGACAGACAGTCCTTTTCCTGGGAAGCTTGCCATGCGGTGGGAGGGAAGTGAGGACCAACTAGAGGCAGGGTAATTAAGGCTGGCACCATAACTGCAGTGAGTGACACGAGAGTGGTAAGCATGCATTGCTGGGAGACCTGGAGTGGAATTCACCCAGGACACAGCCACTGCCAGTGCCCTAAACAGGAACAGCTGGTGCAGTCTTAGAACACCAGCAGGATGTTGCAGTATAGGTCCTGTTGCAAAGTGTCTCTTTCGAAAGCTAAGATTAGCCTTAGTTTTGCAAGGAAACTTAAAACACCAAAGCCCTCAAACAGCCCTGTTCTGACACCACTTTTGTGGCACCTGGATGACTCTTGATTACTTGTCTGTGACCCCTTCGACTTTATGCACAAGATATTGTCTACTGCTTGTGGTAACACAGTGTTATGCAGTGAGTGCCCAATATATGTTTGGGAAATGGAACGAGTGAATGAATGAATGTTTTTCCATCGAATTTTTAATGGGTCCTAAAAGAAGCGAGTTTGTAATCAAAGTGCTATCACCAAAACAGCATTGGTTTTCATCCGAACATCACAAGCCTGTGTTATGCTCACAGCTTCTCACAAAACATTTTGATCTTTCTTTCCACCGAATACTGAATTCCCTCAGTTACCTAAACTTAAACATTTCTGAACTTCTTGCTTTGTTCCTACAATTTATTAAGTAACTATTGTGTGTCAGGAATCTTGCTAGTACGAGAGGGTAACGGACAATGAGATACATAAACTTCCCCAGGTATCTAACTCTGGAAAGTCTCCTACTTTGATGTTTCCTGACAGATACCCCCCAAAATAACCAATATATAATTATTTGATAGCATAATACAACCAAAAACCCATAAGATAATTTCAGATAGTTTGATGAATAAGATAAACAGAATAATGACTACTTGCTTGCAAGTTTTCCTATAAAGCCATAGTCATAAAGGCCCTGCAGTACTAATAAAAGAATATATATGTAGATCAGTATCACAGAGGTCAAAAATAGACCCTAATGAATATTGCCAATTGACCTTTGGCAAAGTTACAAAGATAATTCAGTGGAGAAGTGAACATCTTTTAAAAAGGATTGGGGAGGTTAGAAGAGGCGAAGGGAGGGCAGGGACAGGGCGAAAAAATGAGAACCAAGACCTGTCATGTAAAGGTACAAGATCCCAATGATGAATGTAACTGTACTGTATACCTAAAATGTACCAACAAACTCAATGAGGAAAAAAAAAGGATTCTGTAATGCTAGGATATCAGTATATAATTAAAACAATACTTTCATCCATATCTTACACCATCTACAAAAATTAGCTGAAAAGAGTAAAACCTAAAATCATAAAACTTTTAGACAAAAACACAAGAGGAGTATCTTTGTGGCCTTGAGTTACACAAAGATTTCTTAGATATGAGTCCAAAAACTTAATGAAAAGGAAAAGATAAAGATAAACTATAGTTCAACAAAATTAAGAACTTAAAATCTTTGAAAGACCCACTAAGAGACTGAAAACAAGCCACACACTGGGTAAAACTATTTTGAAATAAAAAAGCTGGGGAAAAAAAACCCTTATATCCAGACTATAGAAACAATTTGCTGTATACTACTTTCCCAAGAATAAGAAAACAACCTCGTGATTAAAAAGGGGCAGGAGATATTTAAAAGAATTAAATAGACCCTTCTGCAAAAGTGACGTAAAAACAAATGAGGGCAGCCTCGTTAGGCATCAGGGAAATGTTAAGTGAGACCGTAATGAAGACACAGAGCTACGGAGCCTTTGGTGCAGCCACTTGGGAGAACTCTGGCAAATTCTTGTGCAAACATTCCCTTACCTTATGACCCAGCAATCTCACTCATAGGTGCTGATACGGTGACATGAAAACCTGCCTGCACTCTAGAAACTCTATGTGAATGTTTATTTTGGCTTTATTTGTAATCAACCAAACTGAGAACAACTGAGAGATCTTCTAAATGGAGAAGGAATAAGTGAACTCTAGCCAATCCATGCGGTGGAGTAATATTCACTAATAATGAAAAGAATGAAGTATTGATACTTGGAACAGTATGTATGAGTTTTAAATACGTTATACTTGGTAAAAGAACCCAAATTCAAAAGACTGCATACTACTTGATTCCATTTATGTGTCTTCCTGGAAAAAGAGCTGGCCTCTGAGCAGAGACATACATGTCAGGAAGGCAGATTTACATGCAAATCCTGGGCAGATTATGTGCAAAGTCTTCCAGAGGAGAATAGTAAAGTCAAGGGCCTGAGGAAAAAGGAGCCCACTGACCTGCAAACTACTAAGTCAGAGCTTAGCTTTTGCTATAAACCTGTAGAAAAGAAAAAGTTCCGTCAGTGAAAAGAATCTGTATCATTGGCTCACATCTGAATTTAGGCTATGCATAATCAAACTTACTAAATATAGTGAGCAAAAATAGATTTCAGGCTGCCCATAAAAACTCCAGGAAAAGCAGTGGGATAGGAAAAGAGAAGGGGCACGGGGAGAGGGAGAGAAGGAGAGAACACGAAAGCCAAATTTGCTTGCTTGTAGCTTTGGCTCTGGCCAGAAATTCACTGCTTCACTGTCATAGAATCGCCTTCTCTGTTTTAGGTTTGCTTAGAAGACTGTAACAAGCCAAGCAATAAGTAAAATGAAGGTCTGTGAAGTTCATCAACGTCCAAGTTTATACTTCATCTTCTATGCATCCTAATTTTTCAAAGATATTCAGGTTTATTTATTTCTTTTTCATTCCCTAACTCTAAAATTTGCATCCCATGTTTTATTGACAAATTTTTTTTTTCTTCTTCTTTTTTTGGTGCTTTTGGACGGGCTCTTTCTGTCTTTATACATGTTCCTGAAAAACATTTTTCTTCAAGTTTTTTCTTGTTAGATTAGTCTCTGTGATTTGCAGGTGATACATTCCCAAAATCCCCAGAAGATGCCTGAAATCATGGAAAGGCCTGAACCCTAAATAGATAATATTATGGTTTTTCTTATACACACATACGTATAACCACAAAATAGAACAATTATAACAATATACTGTAATTAAAGTTATGTGAATGTGGCCTTTCTCTCAAAATATAGAATTTTATATTTCATATTTTCAGACCACAGTTGACTGAAGGTAACTTAAACCACAAGAAGCAAAGCTTCTTGGAGAGGAGAGCACTGTATTATGATTTGAGCAAAGCCAACAGCACTTCTCTAGTTTTTGAATGTTGTAAAAGAAATTTGACAGGAAGCTACCTCGTGTTTATATGTGTGTGTGCCCAGATGGACATAAGGGCAAGTTGGGGGTGATCTTCTGTTTGCAGTTCTTGTCTGACTGCTTTCGGCAGTATTTTGAATAATCCAGCAATTAGTTCCTAGGTCAGCAATGTGTTAAGAATGTTTACCTGTTTATGTAATGAAATGATATAATGGGAGGAATATCCTTCACTGGCAGTATTTGCTGAGTCTGTACACTGTTAAGAAAATAAAGATGAAGCCTTTGTCAGTTTTCTTTGGTCTGCAGTACAAATGTACAGTGTGTGGCACCAGTGAGACCTCTCCTTTACTGTAAGACATTTGTTTTGTGTCACACATCAAATGGTGATGGAAGATGATCTTTCCAAAGAGCAGGTTTTCTTCTGGCCCAAACAGCCCTTATGAAAATGGATGTCACATCAGCGCAAGAGTCTAGCGAAGCCTCCCGGGCTACCTGACCTGCTCACTCCGCAGAAGAACTGGCATAAAGAGCAACTACACATTCTCGTCAGTCAGTCGTGAGTCACCCAGAGCTTTAAGCTTTCCACTCTGGTGCTCTGCTCACTCTGATCATTCAGTTCAAGATGATCTTTCCTTTCCATCCATGTGAACAATCCTACGTCACAACGGGACTCCCTTGCAGTACATCCTCACCAGCGTGCTTTGCAGACCTCTTGTACACTCACGGAAAGTACTCTTCCACCTTTCACACAGCCTTGGACCCTTCCCTTATCTAGCCCCTCCTTATAGTATTTTATGCCTTCATATGCTGACATACACATCTGTTTCTTTGCTAAACTTCAAGCTCTCTATAGATTAGATCCATGTCCGTTTCCTTTTTTATTTCCCACAATGCCTAGCAGTATGACTAATGCCTTAAAGGTGTTCAGTAAATGTACCTAGATTAAATAAATTTATTCTGAAGGTTGGAATAGATAGAACTGTGAAATCAGACCAGACACTGACCGAGCTGCCTTTCCAGAATGGTAGAGAAGCAGAAACTATAAACCTCAAATTGAAGAAGTAATCTGGCTGCGGCCATTGCCTCCAACACACACCCCCAGGCAAACATGCATAATCTATCCCAGCATTCTTTCCTGCTGAACCGTGATGTGGTCTTCCAGTTTCTCAGCCCAAAACCCTGAGAAGACATTATCAATCCACAGAAGTGGATAAAGGAGATGAATTCGTCACTTTTAAAGGTTCAAAACTTGATATTATCTATCTTTGAAAAAACCTGAATATCTGTAATATTTATAAAGGTGTGATTTTGACAAAGAACATATTGGGTGGAGATATGTGTTGTGAGGTGGGTGTGGATGATCACTCAGGTGATGATTGCCATGTAAGCAATAACAATTGATACTTACCCTCCTCACCTTAGTTTTGAAATTTTAAGTTCCTAATGTTTCTATAAAGCAATAAAGAGTGAAGTTTATTTCAGTTGGAGGACTTAATAACTACTAATCATTCCAACCTTGTATCTGTAGGATTGTTTAGAATCAAAGGGGATTACTTGTTAAAATGTTTATTTATTGTATATTTGGAAGAAATTATGTTACTAGGGTATTTTTTCTCTCAAATTTAAAAGTGACCTCAAAACAGGTCCTTTATTAAAGTGGTTAATTTTGGATCCACTTGACTAATCAAAAGTTTCCTGCATAACCATTAGTTCTGAGTGTGTTTAGAGTTTGTTTTCAGATAAATTAGCATTTAAACCAATAGACTAGTAAAAATAGACTGCCTTCACTATCATCCAGTTTGAATAAAACACAAATATAGGGGGGAAGACAGAAGAAATTCGCCCTTTTTCTTCCTACTAGCCTGACTGAGCTGGGACCTGGGTCACATCCTGTCATTGGTCTGAGATTTAAACTATTATGTGTCCTGGTTCTCATGTCTGGGAGTAAACTAGAATTATACCATTGGCTTTCCTGGCAGATGGCAGATTGAGAGACTTCTCAGCTTCTACAATTGTGTGAGTCAATTTCTCATAATAAATCTCTTCCTAAGGAGATACAGATATTCATATAGATACACATGGAGATGTTGCCTGTTGGTTCTGTTTCTCTGGAGTAGTCTAATGAACTTGTAAATGTCATGAAGAGCTTACAAGGAGGTACCTGTTGGAAACATCCATCTTTCATGGAATTATCCAATCATAATTGTCATAAAGCCAGAACTACAGAGAGGTGTAGCAAGTTGGCCAGGGACTGAGGTCAGGGGTTGATCTGAGGCAGCCCACACCTTGGGCTATGCAACTGGGGCCTGGGTGGCATTGGAAGGCATGCAGACTGAGGAACTTCAGGTCATAAGCCAGGAGGTCTCTAGAGAGGTTAAATTATGCTCTTGACCTCCCAAAACACTAGATCTTGACTGAAAAGAGAAACCAGTACAGAAGTTTATCATATCACAAACATTCAGGGGTAGAGTGAGTTGCAGGACTGAGGGCTCAGTGGCTTGGTGATTACATCAAGGACAGAAGGTCTTTCCTTCTTTTTCTGTGCCATCCTCAAACCAGCCCCATAAAGGAAGAAAGTGACTGTGGGAGTTTTAGGAGTTACACCCAGATAGGGTAACCTTCAGAGTTGTATAGAGGCTGTCACTTCTTGTGTCTGCTAAAATAACGATAATGACATTTACCATTCATGAACCAGCAACTATTCTAAATGCTTTATTAATATTAACTAATTTTTATCTCCACAACCTGATTCGCTTTGTTCTGTTATTTACCTCATCAAAAAGATTAAAATGTGGAGGCAGAAAAGTTAAGTAACTTCCCTTATAACACACAATAAACACTGGAGCCAGGATTATGAAAAGGTAGTCACTGTAGTCCGTGGTCTTAATCAGGAAGCTCTTTCCCAAGAGAAAACCTTTCCAGAAGTAACTCAGAAACTCACCCTTATGTGTCATTGACCAGAATCGAGTCACACACCCATTTTTAAATGAATCACTGACAAGAGTCCTAAGAGTATGATGAAGGGGCTAAAACAATCAAGGTCTATTGCTGTTTGGAGGGTTGGTCCATCTTTCTCAAAGTATAAAGCCTGAAGAAAAAAAAAAACACTAGCTTCATTTTCTAAACAAGGAAATTGACATATGGCAAGGAACACCAATGCCTGCTAGGAGGAGCTGTCTATAAACAGTCTGTCTTAATAAATTTCATTTTCTGTGCTTTCATAAGTTAAGATGGTAGGAGGTACTGTAGTCATCCATGCATGTAACTTTGCCTCCTCCCACTGCTCGCAAGCATCCCAAGGATAGGAATAAATATCACGCATTTGCATATTCCCTAGCATAAGACCTTACACATAGCAAGTATTCAAGAAACATTTGTTCATTGTAATTGAATTTTCATTCTCAAGTCTACTTAATTGAAGAGGTCAACAGTTGGCCATGCTCAAGGCAGGCAGATAATGCATTTTCACATTGATCTTGTAATCAAGTGAATTCTTAAAACTTCCCTTGCCATACAAAAAAGCATGAAATTACACATTAGCATAGGTCAATCCAGAAGCTCAAACTCATTAAACAGTTAGTGTCTTGCACTCAGCTCCCTTAGAGGTAATATTAATGTCACATTTTTATTATGACTTGACATTTCCACTGTATTCAACGAGACACACCAAAGAGCCAAAGGCAGGTCAGGCTTCATAATTTGCATAGTTCAATTCAAAAAGATGTGGAACCCTAACTGGGGTGGATAAGTAAATATTACCTTTCTAAGGGCCTACTGATCCAACCTGCAGGTTTGCACTTAAACATTACAGCCTCCTAGTACCTGGGCAAGAAAGATCTACAGAGATGCTTCCTAAACACACAGTTACATTACCAGTCCCCAGGGCATTAGTTTGATATATCCTGTGATACAGCAGGATATCTGCCTGCTCTCAACATCGTGCCTGTACACAGACCGCCCTACATGATTGGCAGAATTAATAATAGAACTCAAGCTACCTCCCACCAATACGAGACCAAGTTGCTGCAGTGGGCAAGAGCCAGGAACAAGAAAGAGGTCAGGTAGGTTTGCAGGTTTGGCACATGGGTGAAAACCTGTCCCAAAGAGGCAGTGCTGTGCAGATTAATCTTGACTATCAACTCAATTGGATTAAGAGATCGCTGGAGAGCAACTGGATTGTGAGAGCACTAATCCCACCAACAGGTAGCCCACTGATGAGTTCAGAGCTGGATAGGCCATTGGGCGGTGGGGTGCACTGGAAAAAGCAGGTCACTGGAGGAATAACTTTGAAGAGTAGATGCTGTCTCCAGTCCCTTTCTCCTCTCTGCCTCTTCTTGCTCCTTTTGATCCCTGGCAGCCATGAGGCGAGCACCATTCCTCTGTCACAGTTTTCTGCCTTGGAGCCCATTGACAAAGGACTAAAACTGGAAGCCTTTTCTCCTTTAATTGGCAGGTATTG